GGTTCGCTCACTGCCAGAGATAGATCTCTTTTGCTGATCTTTTCTGACCGGCCATCTGATCTTGAGTACCATTGAGCGAAGTCAGCTGTTGATGAAGGTCTGTAGTTTGTTTGAGATGCTGTTTATGACGCGCTGGCCAATTCTCTGATTTGTATGGTGAGTAGCACTTACTTCACATTGGAGTTGAAAATCCGGATCTTATTTTACATGCTGAGTGCTGTTGGCCTCCACACGGACTTGAGAGTAATGAAAGCTTGTCTTGCCTTCCCGATTCGTGCTTTGATATGCTCGTCAGTTCCGCCTGTAGTTGAAACGATGCTTCCCTGGTCGTTAGGTGAAGGAGGTTGTTTCTTTCAGGTTCCTCCCATTTATGTTGGCTGATTGTTGTCTGCTGTTGTTGTTGTTGGTGTTGGCCAGGAATCTTCATCACCTTTGTTTTCTCTATGCTCACCTGAAGGCTTATCTTCTCTGGATGCTTCTTCTATCGTCAACTTGTTGCTTTTCACTTGCATATCTTCCAGTTTGTGGGAAATCAGACATATATCATCAGCGAAGTCCAGATCCTCCAAGTTTTTCGTTAGGGTCCATTTTCTAAAGAAATTAGCCCCTGCAAAACTATCCAAACAGTTCCGAAGAAATCTGTCTACATTAGTTGCCATTCACAAAGGATATGATGTACAGGAAGTAGTTAAAGAAAGACTCTACAAAGCCATCAAGGGAACTTATCATGCCGCAAAACTTGTTTCCCTTAACACCACTAAGCTAGTGCTTCAACAATCTGGGAAAGACCAGTCGCCAATCGTCGACACTTCAAACTGCAGCGCATATCAATTTGAGTGTGTTTGTGACAGCTAATACATAGGTCATACACAAAGGCGATTGTCTACTCGCAAGATGAAGCATTTGCCAAAATGGTTAAAAACAGCTGAGTGCAAAGTGCCAAAATCTTCAATAACAAAACATCTTGTAGACCATGGACATGACATCCACGCGGTCAAGTCATTCACTGTCGAAAGTCAGCAGACAAAGAAACAGGAAGATGCTTGCAATTGCTGAGGCTTGTTCAGTTCGAGTCTATAAACCAGGTATCTGTGTACAAGAAGAGATGGTCTTCACTGTGAATCTACCACGGTAGTATGTTTTACTTATTATTCTACCTCTTATTATTATTATTCTTGATTAATTTAAAACTATCCTTTATCAGTAGGATTATCTTAACTCACTTCAACACTATTAATTATTATTATTGTAACTATTACTATTGATATTCGTCTGTTTGCAATTCTCGTTATATTCTCTAATAAATAGTTGTTTATCTAAGCGATGCAATTGAAGCGTAATGCATTTAATCTTAATTTTGATCTCTCATACTTCCTCTCACCTTATCTATTGGAACATGACCTGGAAAACATTCGCACTTGTCTTTCTGCACGACTAATCCAATGTAATTCATTCATTTATCAGTCCTACATCTCCCAATATATTTGCAATTGTATATATATCCGTGTATGTAGAGTATTCAACTGACGAGTCCTACCGATTTCAATGAATTCATTAAGTCATCCTGCTTTATTAACAACTACCTTTGTTGCTTGTTTTAAATTCGTATCGGGAAATAAATGTTTTCAAGAGTTTTATTGGATGGTATGACATATCACGCAAAGAGTGAATGCATCTGCACCAGCCAGCCAGCCAGCCATTACACCGAGAACGAGGATTTCCAGCCATATCACCAATTGTCTCCAAACATCATTTGGTTCTTAGGTGACTGTAAACTTATAGCAGCTCAAATCGAAACTACCTAGCGAACGGATGAATGACTCTGAACAACCGATCAGGTGACTGCGTATTGTACAGGCGTACTTATGAATGCTGTACACCTTTTTGAGTTGTAAACGCGCTCCATATCTTGTTTTTGATATTACTGTTTGGGGAACAGACTGATAGAAAGGTGGAAATAGTGTGAATGTGGAGGTGTCATGTATTATTTACAAAGATTTACTAGGTGTGTTTACAGGTGCGATGAGTCCCGAACCAGTTCGAGAAGGCATGCCGTTCTGCTTTTTTAGTTCACTGATTCCCTAGGTACCTTTTTCGCCAATTCTAACGAAAATTTTAATGATGTGACATAACTGGGTGCTTAAAAGATCAATAACAGCAATACCTTATGAATCAGAAAATTCAGAAGTGTCTTCACTGCAATCATACCAGTACTGCAGACACATAACATCATGGAAAATGAACAGGCTGACTCAAGTACTTGGTGGAGTTGGCGTCATTCTCCACGTAGATGAGACGGTATTGATCAAAAGAAAATATAATCGAGGGAGATTGAGTGCAAATCAGCATTGGGTGTTGGGGATATATGGCACCACCGTCCACAAACCATACATTGAGGCGATCCCTAATCGCCAGTGCTAATGTCTTATTGCCTATTATCCAACGCTTAGTGCTGCCTGGAGTAGTTATAGTCAACTATCGACCCTGGGCTATATTCATCACATCGTCAACTATACAAATGATTTCATCAACCTTTTCGATGAAACTCACATTAATTCCATCAAAAATTTCTCGAGTCACCTTAAAAAAACGGATCAGATCTGTGAATGGATCAAGAAATGCAATGATATACAGTTATCTCGACGAGTTTATGTACACGGCTTGGTTTAACATAACTACGAAGACTCGTATGAAAAATTGTGAGGATTTGTTTAGACCATTGAATTACTTTTATATAAACGTTTTATTCAAATTATGTGCCGTTTCTATAGAGGCATATGATTGGTGAGGGTTGTCGTTGTCGAGGTCATTTATCTGTTCGCTAGGTAGTTTTGGTTTGGGCTGTTGTAGTTTAGATTTACTAGTTCTTACCATCCTGAGGAACCCAATCTGTCGTCAGCCAAGCCAGTCTACAGCTTCCTATGTGACTGGCTGGCTTAAACTGACCTTTATGGATATGATTGACTGATGAAGCCATATTTTGATTTGACCACGATGTGCTAATTCTTTCTACAACTTGATCGATCCTATGTCAGCTGTTAATATTGCCCGCGTCGAGGAAATCTGTCGATGGCTAGAAATGCGTAATGCATGTCCTAACCATCTCAATCCCTGTCACTTCACATTAATATATGTGTAAAACTTGGGCATTTTGTTAGTATGTCATTCCACGTTAATTAGTTAGATATATCATTCGGTCAGTGAAACAGTATTATTATTTACTGAGTGACGGTGTTTCGAACACAATTTATTGTTCATAATCATATCATCAATTATACTTACACAACTTCGGAAATTGAGTTTTATAGTTCTCTTTGTTTTCTCTTATTTGTCGTCGTTCGAGGTAGTACAATTTTCCAGATATCCGACTGGACAAGTGTTGAATCGCGTGTATCACACTTGTCTGTAGTTGATTCGATAAATAAAGCTTCTGTTATCAATCTCTCCCTCCCGCCACCCTGTTACATTATATTTTAAAACTAATCTTATTGTACGGTTATGTGTAACTGAAAGTGGTGCTTGCTATAGCTGAACTGTTCTCCAGATTTCTAATGTAGGTATCGGGTCAACTAATCTAGATTTCTCTAGGATTTTGTGCTCCACTAGTCTGATTGACTAACCCTGTTGTACTACTTTCACTTGTGTATTTAACCTGATAGTCATTCTAGCAGGGTATTTAACTTCTCAACTTCGTATGTATATGTGTGTCTGTGTTTCGGTGCAGAAAATAGGTGAACAGGTCAATAAATAAACAAAGGTGTCTGTGGTTTATTAAGGCGGAGGGCAATAGATGAACACCTATTCAACAATTTGATCACTCACTCACTCCCTCAAAAGTGATCTACGTATTATCCAAGAATTCCTTTTTAATATATTTGTGCAGTGCGTCGGTGGTATAGCGGTTAGGACACTCACCAACCATGTACATGGTCTGGGGTTCGATCCCTGGCCGACGCACTCCTCTACCTCGCTAAGCCAGAAATAATGCTGGTAAAGAGGAAAGGTTGAGAATGAGGCTAGCAACCCCATCCTGTAAAAAGAAACACTGACTGCTACAGAAACTTCAAGCCAATAGCTTGAAGCCCTATGTTCCACTGGGGAACTTGAAGGAAAAAAACGATGACGGTTGTTTTACGGGTTGATCACGGATTGATATCAGTTAGAGAACCATTGAAAACCAGGGAGTACTGGACAGCTGCTGTTTCATCCTAGTTTGGGAATCATCGGCAGTACGCACCCACTGGGATTCGAACCCGGGACCTTCCGGTTACAAGGCAAGCTCGTATACCATTCAGCCACTGGGACCCGATTCAATGGCTCGTGAATTCTAACTTCTACTAATTCGTGATTTAGCGCGACCCCAACCATTGTCGTTGGTGGGACATCCATCCACACACGTGACATCTAATTGGACCTCACTGGTCACGACTTCTCACTAGAACTCAGGAAACTCCAACCTGTAGCAAGTCACTAGCGAGCATCAGATTAACTTTCTATAGTTTGGTTTGTAAGGATTAGTTATGTTTTACGGGTTGATCACGGATTGATATCAGTTAGAGAACCATTGAAAACCAGGGAGTACTGGACAGCTGCTGTTTCATCCTAGTTTGGGAATCATCGGCCATTGAATCGGGTCCCAGTGGCTGAATGGTATACGAGCTTGCCTTGTAACCGGAAGGTCCCGGGTTCGAATCCCAGTGGGTGCGTACTGCCGATGATTCCCAAACTAGGATGAAACAGCAGCTGTCCAGTACTCCCTGGTTTTCAATGGTTCTCTAACTGATATCAATCCGTGATCAACTCGTAAAACATAACTAATCCTTACAAACCAAACTATAGAAAGATGACGGTTGTGTAATACGGTGAGTAGAACTCAAATGGTCAATAATAATAATTATTACTATCACTCATACACACTATGACCCCATTATCGGTGGATGAGGTCAACTCTTGACCACATTTCTCTCAAATTCCCTTATTTATTTTATTAATTTTTTTAGAATCACTTAGAAGATACAAGTCATCTTTATGTACGCTTTACACGACAACCTGAATGCGTTGAAATTGGTCGTCAATTTATACTCACCTGGAATGGTAGCCTGAAAACAGTTGGTTATGTTATTGATTTAATCGATCCATTGAAGTGTAATTCATCAATTTCTCTTCTATTGAACAATGAGACTAGTAATAATAACAACGATAATAAAGGTGATGCCATTCAGTCAATGAATGACAGCGATAATGATTTCATATGGAAAAGACACAATACTCTATCATTTCGTGAAAAAGATGACTATGATAGTAGTTGGTCAAGTCTACGAATGAATTTTATCGATCGTATGATGATGAATACAACTCATGACAGTGGAAATATTAATATTAATAATAATAACAATAATTTGCAATACTTTTATCATAAATCAAAGTCATTGTCTTTATCATTGGAAGAATTTGATGGAAGCAATTATGCATCAACAAATGAAAAATTCGATTCAATGCATTATACTACTTCCATTCATCATCATTTAAGTAGTTTATTAGAAGCAGAAATAGAAAATCAAGAGAATCAGAAAAAGGGTACAGATCTGTCCAGTGGTGGTGATGTTGGCGGTGTTGGTGATGTCATTCCCCCTGGACAATCACAAAGACAAGAACAAAAACAGCAACGAAATGAACAACAGTCACCTGATATTGGTGTAAAGTCTTCACAGTCTACGAATTATCCTTATCATAATAATAATAATAAGTCGTCATCTTCTTCTTCAAGATCGAATAAACGCCGTCATCGACGGAAACAAAAGTCTTAACCATGGTGGTTTATTTATTCGTTCTGTGTGTGTGTATGTGATTTAGTTGTCTAAATATTCAGTTATACAATCAATTTGTTCATTGAATTCTTTTGTCCTATTGAAAATATTCAGCATGTAGTGATACACACTATTTCTGAAATGTCTAGTTTCGTCTTCATCGTCTTATGGCTTCCTCTTGTGTAGTGTATATATTATATATAACAATAAAAACGCACACATACATACACTTATTTTTGTGTTTGTGCATATATTCATGTTTGTTTGTTTCTGTGCGGGTGTGGGTGTGTTTATTGATTTATTTATTTGTCTTTCTAATTTTTCGGATTATAAGTAGTTTATTTAGCTGTTTTATTTTTGAGCGTATATTTATGTATATTATGCAGTATTCCATGATTCTAACTTTCTATTGGTTGTTTTGTTTCGTACGCGCCCACCTCTGCCCATCCGCCCACGCATGTGCGTGTGTGCGTCACAGCGTTTCAATTGTACATTGAACATACATCTACATATATTTATCCTTTGTTTAAATCAATTCAATTAGATAATATCGAAATTTGAATAACAGGCAATAACAGCAACGATACGTCGTCCGCACAACAAGGAATAATGAAAGTTACTCATTTTATTCTCACAATTTTATTATAATTTAGTTCATTAGAGAAATAATTTTAGAATAATAATTCAAGATGAGTATGGTGTATGTATTATTGTAGATGGATCGAAGCATCTCGAAAATATCAGAATATGAATGAATGGAAAGGTATGATAAAAAGGCGGCGATGTAAGACGGTAAGGATTCCCCCGTTTGTTGCTGTTGTTGTTGTTGTTATCGCACTTTGAGTTCTTCATATTCTTGCTTTTGTTTGTAATTAGTTTTATAATAGAAGAAATTCTTTGTTCTTTTTTATTCTTTATGTTTGTGCGTTTCTTCTTTTTTGATGACGTCACAATAACAGCAGCTATATTATTATTACAATTATTACCAGTGTGTAATACCGAATCTTGTTAACTTTGAGTTTTACTCTTCAGACTCCAGTAGTACCACTCATGTCCTTTCTGAGCATTCTTCATTGTTTAGTAATAGTAGAATACAATATGGAAGAATTGAACTGAACTACACTCAATTGAACCATCTTTATACTTACTATTACTTATGCTATATATATATATATATATATATATATATATATATATACAACATATAATTATTTATTATCAACTTGTTCACAGATATACTCATTCATTTATTGATTTATTTGTTTATTTATTTATTGAAAAATAATATTTTTCATTTTTCTCATGCAAACATTTCTTCTTTTGCGTGTGTGTGTGTGTGTGTGTATTTTGTTGCCCAAGTTGAAGGGGTTATTCAACTTTATGGTGCTCGTGTTGTTTGTTAGCTTGTTTTTTTGCCGATAAACATTTAACTACTGAATGGGTAAATTTAAGTAGGCATGTCATAATTCTCATAAAATTCACTTTGAGATGATGCTATTCAGTGTTAGATAGATGGATTGAGGTGGATCTTGACAAGAACTTCTGCGGGTGCATAGGTGAATATAATACAAATTTGAGCAGAAAAAGTGTAACAAACATTGGTGTAGAATAACACAAATCCATTTTATTTTTCCATATTAGTTTGTTTATTAGATATAAGACAGTCACTGAAACACTATTATTTATTTATTTAAACGCATAAAAACTTGGTACAATATGGCACCAAGAAGGATGCGCCACACAATAATAATAAAACAACATAGATCAAAAGAAAAAAAGAAAGAAGAGAAAAAAATATATAAGTAGAGAACGGATAAAGAACTTTATCTGGAAGGAAAACAGTCATGCTTAACAAGTTCAAACAGTATTCGGGAAGGGAAGAAAGAAGGAAATTGCAACACGTGTAATAGCACGCGATAAGTTTCATTGATTGTTTGTTGCTTCATTCAATTCATTGTGTGAGGGCTGAGATACTGCCTGGGCGCCTAGACCAAAGCAGGTGGTTTTATTGAGGGACCACCCCCGAGCCTTTGACTTGGAGTCTAATCCGCAAGGCAGCGGAGCAGCGTCAGGAGCTGGACTCCCATGGTTTCCGGTGACCCATATGGGTTCATACGCCATTTGATCTGATTGGATGCTGGAGCCCATGTACCCTATGGTAATTGCTTGTAGTTTAACTGCTATCCAAACAACCTTCCTGACATTGTAGGACCTGCAGGCACAGAGTTCCAGTCAGTTTAGCATGTTGGCTCATTACGCTGTTCAAGCCCGACCACCACGACAAGATAGCAGTTATCGGCCGGGGAAACAGTATTATTTAATGAATGACTAAGTTTCGAACACAATTTATTTATTGTTCATAATCATATCATCAATGATAATCACACGACTTTGAAACTTCCGTTTAATAGTTTTCTTTGTTCTCTCCTATTTGTCGACGTAGGGGTAGTAGAATTTTTCAGATGTCCTCGTGGACAGGTGTTGAATCATTTCTATCCCCTCTTGTGGTAGATATATTCATGGAAAGGTGAGAAAACATAGCGATTGAAAAACGTTCAATCCCACCCCAAATGTATGGTATGTAGAGATATGTAGATGACACATTCACTGTACTTAGAACACGGGACATAAATAAGTTTTTCGAAAACATCAACTCAAAGGCGGGGGCAATTCAATTCACTTGTGATGAATTGGGAAGTCAGGAAGGGGAACTTTCTATGTTAGACTGTAGTGTAAAAGGAGATGAGATGGGAAGTTAAACACACACTGGTGTTTACAGGAAACCCACACATTTAAACAGATATTTGGACTTCAGGTCATACCATCCTACTATGTAAGTGAAAATAGGATTAGTAAAATGTTTAAGTAATAGAGCATAAAAACTAAGTAGTGCCAAGGAAAATCTAAGACAGGAAGTGAAACATATAGGAGAAGCTTTGAAACTCTACAATTACCCTGATAACTTAGTCAGAAAGTATGTAGGGAAGTGTAAAATAAAATAAATAGTGAAGAGATAGTGATGATAATATTAGTAATATTAATGGCTATATGCAAGCCAAATGTGCGCAAGACAACACCAACAATAGGGTGTAACAACAGAAGACAAGGCCCAGGCAACAGATCGTTTTATTATGAAAATCAACACGTATTTATACATATTTCACGTACATTATTATAGCTTATGCAAGTAGACAAGCGCAGTTATCTGATTGGTTGTTTATCAGAAGTTAGGCAGACAAACGCAGGCTTCTGATTGGTTGTTTCGGGATTCCTCGACAAATAGAGTTCTCTATCTGCGAATCATATTTTGCCACGTTAACTTTGCTGTGATTGGTTGTTGAATCAGCCTTGCTCATATTTTCTCACGGCCTGCTCTCACCACAAGGGAATATAAATCATCAATAATAATTTCATACAGGGAAGGAACCTCGGAAATCACCACCTTACGCAGAATTGTTAACAATTTTGTTAGGAATAAAAGTGACTGGCATTCAAACCACCTACAAACTCAATTAGAAACAAGCTTTGTCGGTTAAAGGATCAATCCTGACAGTGGAGCCTTTAAAACAAAACAATTTAGTTTATCCAATATCCCGCTCGAATGATTGACGGGTCAAATATATAGGTTAAAGTAGTAAAACAGGGGCAGTCAGACTAGCCGAGCATAAAAAGTTAGCAGAAAAATTTAGATTAGTTGACCTGAATAAGATAAGAAATTTAGAGAATAGATCAGCTATAGCAAGCACTACATGCAACTACACACAACACAGCCATACAATAAGATGGATGGGATAGGATGACAGTTTTAGAATCTAATGTCACAGGATGAATGAAGGGAGAGATTGGTAACAGAAGCTTTGTTTATCGAATCAACTGAGGAAGAACGCGTGTAATAGGAATTATTCAACACCCGTCCAGTAGGATATCTGGAAAATTCTACTAACCCTATGACAAACAGGAGAAAACTATGAAACTCAAGTTTCGAAGTCGTGTGATTACAATTGATGATATGATTATGAACAATAAATTGTGTTCGAAACCCCGTCACCCAGTAAATAATACTGTTTCTGTGACTGTGTGGTGCACCTAATAAACAGACTAATATGGAATTACTTACTACCACATTTCCCAAGCTTTACGCATATATTAATGTGAAGTGACAGGGATTGAGATGGTTAGGACATGCATTACGCATTTCTAGCCATCGACAGATTTCCTCGACGCGGGCAATATTAACCGCTGACATAGGATCAATCAAGTTGTAGAAAGAATTAGTACATGGTGGTCAAATCAAAATATGGCTTCATCAGTCAATCATATCCATAACAGTCAGTTTAAGCCAGCCAGCCACATAGGAAGGTGTAGACTGGCTTGGCTGACGACAGATTGGGTTCCTCAGGATGGTAAGAACCGGTGACTGTAAACTACAACAGCCCAAACCAAAACTACCTAGCGAACAGATAAATAACCTTGACAACGACAACCCTCACCAAGCAGATGCCTCTATAGAAACGGCACATAATTTGAATAAAACGTTTATATAAAAGTAATTCAATGGTCTAAACAAATCCTCACAATTTTTCATACGAGTCTTCGTAGTTATATTAAACCAAGCCGTGTACATAAACTCATCGAGATAACTGTATATCATTGCATTTCTTGATCCATTCACAGATCTGATCCGGTTTTCTGAGGTGGCTCCGAAATTCTTCGATGGAATTAATGTGAGTTCCATCGAAAAGGTTGATGAAATCATTTGTATATAATTGACGATGTGGTGAGTATAGCCCAGGATTGATAGTTGACTATAACTACTCCAGGCAGCACTAAGCGTTGGATAATAGGCAATAAGACATTAGCACTGGCGATTAGGGATCGCCTCAATGTATGGTTTGTGGACGGTGGTGCCATATATCCCCAACACCCGATGGTGATTTGCACTCAATCTCCCTCGATTATATTTCCTTTAAATCAACACCGTCTCATCTACGTGGAGAATGACGCCAACTCCACCAAGTACTTGAGTCACCCTGTTCATTTTCCATGATGTTATGTGTCTGCAGTACTGGTACCATTGCAGTGAAGATACTTCTGAATTTTCTGATTCGTAAGGTATTGCTGTTATTGATCTTTTAAACACCCAGTTATGACACATCATTAAAATTTTCGTTAGAATTGGCGAAAAAAGTACCTACGGAATCAGTAAACTGAAAAAAGAACGGCATGCCTTCTCGAACTGGTTCGGCACTTATCGCACCTGTAAACACACCTAGTAAATCTTTGTAAATAATACATGACACCTTCACATTCACACTATTTCCACCTTTTTATCAGTCTGTTCCCAAAACAGTTATATCAAAAACAAGATCTGGAGTGCGTTTGCAACTCAAAAAGGTGTACAGCATTCATAAGCACGCCTGTACAATACACAGTCACCTGATTGGTTGTTCAAGGTCATTTATCCGTTCGCTAGGTAGTTTCGATTTGAGCTGCTATAAGTTTACAGTCACCTAAGAACCAAATGATGTTTGGAGACAATTGGTGATATGGCTGGAAATCCTCGTTCTCGGGGTAATGGCTGGTGCAGATGCATTCACTCTTTGCGTGATATGTCATACCATCCAATAAAACTCTTGAAAACATTTATTTCCCGATACGAATTTAAAACAAGCAACAAAGGTAGTTGTTAATAAAGCAGGAATTTAATGAATTCATTGAAATCGGTAGGACTCGTCAGTTGAATACTCTACATACACGGATATATATACAATTGCAAATATATTGGGAGATGTAGGACTGATAAATGAATGAATTACATTGGATTAGTCGTGCAGACAGACAAGTGCGAATGTTTTCCAGGTCATGTTTTAATAGATAAGGTGAGAGAGAGTATGAGAGATCAGAATTAAGATTAAATGCATTACGCTTCAATTGCATCGCTTAGATAAACAACTGTTTATTAGAGAATATAACGAGAATTGCAAACAGACTAATATCAATAGTAATAGTTACAATAAGAATAATAATAGTGTTGAAGTGAGTTAAGATAATCCTACTGATAAAGGATAGCACGCCTATGTTTGTCATCCTCTAGCCAACGAATGACTGGGACGCAAACGAAGGATAGACAGCTTGATAGTTTTGTCACATCTGTGTGCATTTATCAACTCAACTGCACCTGCGGTGACAGTTATGTTGGACGTACTACTAGACAGCTTAGCCAAATGTACTACTGAACATCTCCCATCGTGGTTTGGTGAAGGTCAGACAAAAACAATCCATAGCTCAATTCTATCACATTTAATTGATAGTGGTCTTGTAGTCGAGAAAACGAAAGCCTTCAAAGTAATTCATTGTATCCCACCGAATCTTTCCGATAGACTTTGTATTCGTCTACTGCACAAAGCTGAGGCAGGCGATAGGCACTCGAACTATTAGGCCCCTAAAAAGGAGTCCGTACAGTCATTATCCCTCCCTTGGCCTAATAAGACATAACCAACTAAAGACTTCTACA